AAGCTTCCCGGAGTGATCCTTGATAGCGGCTAGCCATCCCTCGAGAAGCTAGCTCAAGTTCGGCCCGAGCTGGGCATGTATTGCCAAAGTCGTGAATTCGGCAAGGACCCATACCTCTCGAGCGAACCCATAACAGTACCCCCCTTCCAAGATCCGAGCTCCTGCGAGGTGAAATGAAGTTCTCCTGCGCAGCCGCTTTCTTCGAGTTCGGCAGGATGCAACGGTGTAGAGCTTCTATCACCATCATCTTCACCACCAAAGCGCTCGCCATCATCAACATGGCTCGAGAGCTTCCTCCTCTGCCGGCTTTGCGCCGTTCTACTCGCCGGACCGCCACGCGCAGCGTGACTCCACCTGCTGTGAAACAGTAGAGCGTTAATCGATAGAGGAATGTCGATCGGGCTGAATGACTTGTGGTCACCGATCGATGTTGCTCGCGTGGTACAGTCAAGCTAAATTAAGGTTTTGCGGGGTAACGGCACCTATAGTTCAGCTGTCGTGGTCTGACGTTTGTTCAGGGATCCTAGATCTCCTCGCGATTGTTATACTCGCGGCCTGGTAGAGATGGGGATGCTTCTGAAGTGAAGGTATCGATTGGCGTCTGTATCTTGCAAGGTAGCTTGGAGTACAGCGTATACGGATATTGTGTAAGTGGTGATCGCTCTCTTGAGGTCAACTCTAGGGGGCGATAGGGAGGTAGTGGGATAGGAAACTAGGAATCAATTCGATAAGGAAAGGAGTGCCGACTATACTACAAGAAGCTGGTTATATACCTGTTGCCTCGCTCGCGAGAGCAACCAAGTCTTCGCTGTACGTCCACTTGGTGAATCTGGCTCATCCGTAGAGGTCCTCGCGGATCTCCTTTCCTAAGTCCCCATTCTCCTTGCCGCCTGGCGGCTATCCTTCCCTGTTCGCCATTCTCCCCCATTGGTTGTGACATTAGTGCACGTTTATTGGGGTTGCCCCGTTCCTGCCGACGTGCTCCTGACTTGCGATATCATTGGTCGAGTCGTTACGCTATCTCTCGGGTTCCCATGGTCCGTTTCGCCGTCTGCACCTTGTCGAACGCCGTATGCAATGGTCAGGCGACCTGGTTACCGAGTTGCCGTCGACTACTGTGTATTGGCGCCAGCGCTAGTTGCTTGTGTGAACGAGGGTGGTCCCTGGTTATCTTCCTGAGCGATGTCGAACCGATGAGCTTGTTCGACATTCGAGGGTGCGGCGGCGAGGTGTTGATGTCGCCGCAATCCAGCAAACTATTGTTGGGTTTTCCGAGGGTTCGCTCGCGCTAGTTAAACTGTAGTCCCCTATAATCGCCTATCCCTATCGCTGGTGTGTGTTACGTCCTGATATGTTGACAAGTACTGCGCATCTTGGCGAGGTTTCCAACACTCCCCCACAACATCTGGACAAGAACACCACCATTGATTTGAGTGAGGCGACTATCTACAAAAGGGACCGAGACTTCTACCTGCGCTTGCGCTTGTAGCGCTCCTGGCGCTCCAAGTCTTGAGGAGTGGGCTCTTGGAGGCCATAGTCGACGAGGGCATCGTTGAGCTTGGCGATCATCGGCCTAAGTTCACGGAACTTGGCCGAATCATCACCGGCGCCGACGGTGACGCAATCCATGTCTCGACCGATGTGCTCGAGCACCTTCTTGGCCTCAGACTTGAGTGTGGTGTTGCCCTCGAAGAGCGTACACTTGTCACCGGCGTGACTGCACCAATCGCACTTGCTCTTGACCGTGCCGTTATCCTTGATGCGAAGGTAGCCCTTCGCCGTGAGCCCGTTGCCGAAGGTACAAGCACGCTTGTTCTCGCAGTGCTTGCACTCGAACCCTGGCAGCATCACAACGAAGCCGGGTTCCAGGCAATCGTCCTTGGGGAAGTGCTCCCGCTTGGACCGATCGTTGATGGCCGAGAACGGCAGCGGGTTCTGCTTCGAGAGATTGTCATCATCTCGATGAGCCCGGGGGAACTCCTTGACGTTCTTGACAGGGCACTCTGATTCGCGTGTGCGCCTGCCTCCCCCAGACCGAGTGACCCCGCTGCCCGTGAGCTCGTTGTACTCCTCCTCGAGATCGGAGGAGGAGTCAGGCTGGTTGAGAGAATTGTCCGGTGCCTGAAGCCGGATCGATCCGTACGTTCGAGGGGAGGTGAGGTTCCCCAAGAACATCTGGTTGGCGCCGATGAGCTGGCCGGTCTGCTCACTCAGCGCCCGGGCAGTGGAGGAGCGTTGGAAGCGTCCTCGGCTGCTGCCCACATCGTCCATGACGATGTCTTCGGTCGTTTGCTGACCGGGAGAGGGTGAAGATGTAGCCTGACGTTGGTCAGGGCTACTGGCCCAAGTCTTGGCCTTCTTGGCGGACGTCTTACGAGACGCCGCCACCTTCTTGCTTGGAGCAGCCCTCTTGCGGGCCGCCTTCTTGGGTTGGGCGGGCCTATTGCTGGGCCCCGCCGTGTCTTGAGTGAGGGGAGCAGGCTGCTCCTCCTCGTCATCAGTGAGGTCGCTCCCATCATCGAGCGGGTCCGTGATGTGGAGCCCGTCGACGTTAGGAGCGTCGTTGGTGCTGGCGGCGGCCTCGCTGCTCGTCGCAGCCTTCTTGGGCTGCCGCACAAGCCGATCGACCGCCGTTTGGGCCGCAGCGCGGCGGTTCATCTTGATGTGGTCGCCGATGTCTGACATGGCGACGGGCGATGCTGTTGTTGGTGTGTGGTGGTAGAGAGCAATAAGACCTTATCGTACGCTCTTCTTTTGCTCGGTCTGTGTGTTGTGTGGGCTGCGCAGTGATTGTAGAGTCTTCAAGGCCGTGGATCTGCGCAGAAGTGAAATGAAGTCGGTATGTGTATCGAGCCGGCCCCTTTGTTGACTCCTTTGTGATTGGTTGCGGTTTTAGTTTACCCGCTCCACGGGTTTCGCACCATCGGGGGCTATAATTCGTAGACCCTCGCGATTCTCGACTACTTTGACTCTTTGGAGAGGTTTCGTCATGATATCTGCCAATTGATCATGAGTTGAGATGACCTGGACATCAACCATTCCTTGTTCCACCGCTTCTCTGATGAAGTGGTACTTGACGTCAATGTGCTTCGTTCGATTGTGGAACTTAGGATCCTTGGCAAGCTGGGCTGCGGCCGTGTTGTCAACGAGTAGAGGGGACGATAGTTCGATTTTGACGCCTATGGTTGCAAGCAGGCGCCTTGACCAAGTTAACTCTTTGACTCCCTCGTGCATCGCGACGTATTCCGCGTGGCAGGTCGAGTCAGTGACCAATCCTTGCCTCTTGGACAGCCAGCTGAATGGCATGCCTGCAAAGTTGTTGATCATCCCTGTTGTGGATTTTCGAGTCTCCGTGTCCCCTGCGAAGTCTGCATCAGTGTACGTTTCGAGAAGTTTGCCAAAGTCATCGTTGGCGATGGATAGCTCTCGCTGGCGAGAGTACATGAGACCCATCGTATCCGTTCCCTTCAGGTACTTGAGGGCGTGTTTGGCCGCCTTCATTGCTTCCTCGGTGGGGTTCTCCAGGTGTCGGCTAAGTTTCTGCACGGCGAAGGCTATGTCCGGGCGGGTGCATGTCGCTATGTAGAGGATTGACCCAACGATGGTCCTGTAGGTCGAATGCTTCATCTCGTCGAGTTGTTCGCCGCCAGTGAGTTCCACGCCAGGATTGATTGGCGTCGTCACCGAGTTTGAGTCTTGCAAGCCAAACTGCAACAATAGTCGCCTAATGTAGCTTGTCTGCGACAAGTGTGTTCCTTTGCTGCTCGTCTGTACTTGTATACCCAGGATGTATGACAGTTCGTCTCCCCCAGTCATTTTGAAGTGCGAGCGTAGTTGTTCCATGACGTTGTCGGCATCCCGCTTTTCCTTTGCGAAGATGAGGACGTCGTCGACGTATAGGGTGAGGAGGACGGGTGGCCCTTGGCCAATTGTCTTGGTGTATAGTGCAGGGTCGTGCTCGTTTCGAGTGAACCCCATCTGGATAAGGGTTGAGTCGGCCTTCTGGTACCAGTTTTGTCCAGCTTGTTTGAGGCCGTACAATGACTTGTTGAGCTTGCACACCACTGAGGTGTTCTTGTTCATTGTAGGGTTGCGATCCGCTGGTGTAGTCCCCGCTAGTTCCATGTCGGGCGCGAGCGGTGGAACTCGCATGTGTATATCTGTATCAATGTCGCCATTGAGATAAGCGGTAACTACATCCATCTGGTAGATGGTGAGCCCAAGTTGGAGCGATAGGATCATGAGAAGTCGAAGTGTCTTGAGCTTGACCACCGGGGCGAACGTTTCATCGTAGTCGATACCGTGTTTCTGGCTGAACCCCTGTGCTACTAGTCTGGCTTTGTACTTGTCGATGCTGCCATCGGCTTTACGTTTGACCTTGAACACCCATTTGCAACCGATGATGTTTGCCCGCGTGGGAGTTGGTACCACTGTCCACGTATTGTTTGTTGCGTGTGACTCTAGTTCCCTCTTGATGGCTTCTTCCCATAGTGGCCAGTCTGGGCGCCCCATTGCGGCCTTGAGTGTCCATGGTTCATTGTCGAGTTCGCTGATTGAGCCTGATGTGGCCGTATCGCCCTCGATAGTTGCCAGGGCGACGGGTGGTGGGGTGCCAATCTCGTCGTCGTCATCATTCGTTGCCACCAGGGGTGGCGTGCCAGGTTCTGATGCGGTATGTCCCTGTTCGTCGGAGTCGCTAGCGATAGTGTCGTCGGCATGGGTATTGATGATCTCCCCCAGCGGTTCGTGATCTTCGCTCTGTAGGATTGGCCAACCCGTCGATTTAGTGTGCCTCGCGAGGTCGCCGAGGGTTCTGGTCTTGAATGGGAATCGGTTCTCGTCGAACCTGACGTGTCGTGATACGAGGATTGTCCCTGTTAGTGGGTCAATCAGTTTGTGACCCTTGGTATCGGCGGCAATTCCCAGGTATGCTGCCCGAATTGCTCGTTCTCCAAGTTTGTCTCTTCGCTCTTCTGGTATGTGGACCCAGGCTGCACAGCCAAAGACGCGGAGGTCTTTGGTTCCAGTCTCAGATCCAAGGAAGAGGGACACTGGGCTTGCCAGGTTCGTCGCTTTTGTGGGTAGCCGGTTTGTCAAATAGGTGGCGTGCAGCAGTGCCTCCCCCCACATCTTGCGAGGGGCGCCACATTCGGATAGCATACATCGTACCTTCTTGAAGAGGGTGCGATTCATTCGCTCGGCGATGCCGTTCTGCTCGGGTGTGTATGGACAGGTTAGCTCGTGGATGATGCCGTTCGTGGCCATGTATTCGTCGAATTCTTTGCTGATGTATTCACCGCCGTTGTCGGACCTGATGCGCTTGAGGATGCTACCTGTCTGTGTCTCCATGCGTGCCTTGTAGGTTTTGAAGTGTTCGAAGACCTCACTCTTGCGCTGCATTAGGTATACGGTGGTGAATCGGGTGTAATTGTCAACGAAGGTGACGGCGTATCTGTATCCTTCTGGGCTCTCGTCCGGCATTCGTCCCACAACGTCAGTGTGAACCAGTTCAAGGGGTCGATGACTGACAGTGGTCCTTCGGTTGAAAGGAAGCTTGTGCGATTTGTTGATTTCGCAGACATCGCATTTGAAATCGCCACCGTTAGTGCAGATCTCAGGGATGGTTCTTCCAAGTTCTTTCATCCTTTGAAGACTGGGGTGTCCCAGGCGTTTGTGCCAGACGTCTGCGGTCCCGCTGGATACCACGAGGTTTGCAACCTTAGCCCCCGCGACGTTGAGGTAGGCCAGGTTTCCAATGTGCATGGCGCGGCACACGACCTCTCCCTGGCGATTCAAGGCAAGCGTTGCGCTTCCTCTGCGCTGGAGTCGCAGTAGCCCGTGCATTGCCCCTTGCGAGATTAGGTTAATTGCAAAGGTGGGCATGTATAGCACGTCGAGGAGGGTAATGGTACCTTGCTTGCCGTAACCGAGGTTCACCTTGAGTGTGACGGTGCCCACGCCGCTGGCTTTTGTGTATCGTCCATCCGCTGTGAGGATTTGGTCCGACGATGGTGTGATCCGGTCAAATAGTGTGTCGTCGACACAGATATGGCGACTGGCGCCGCCGTCGAGTAGCCAAAGGTGGGGGCTTTGCACACAATCGCCGTCGATTGTGACGAATACGCTGCCGTCCTTCTTCTCGGTGGTCTTATTGCCCTTCTTGGAGGTCTTGCCGTCTTGGGCGCCCTCCTGGGCTTCGTTCGGGCAGTCTTTGGCGAAATGTCCAATCTCGCCGCAGTGCCAGCATTCTCTGCCGCGCGGTTTGCGTTGGTGGCGGCCCTTGTTGGTTCGAGTGCCCAATTGTTCGTTACCGGCAAAGAGGGCGGACGATATTTTGATCTTTTTCTGCCCTAGGGTTAGGGTTAGGGGTTAGGGGTTAGGGTTAGGGTTAGGGTTAGGGTTAGGGTTAGGGTTAGGGTTAGGGTTAGGGTTAGGGTTAGGGTTAGGGTTAGGGTTAGGGTTA